TATTTAGTGTTTGTATTTTAAAAAGCACTAAGATAGAAATTTTTAATCAAATAAATATAGATGTATTATATTATATAGACTATATTTAAAATTTTGGGCCTTCTGAAATCAAGAGGCCTTGTGCGGTAGCACTTCTTGCACGCCCTCATCTACGGCTCTGATTTTACTCCTAGTTAGGGTATTCTCTCTTAAACGGCTCGAAGTAATTAATTTACATGCAACATAACTGCTTCTAAAGTACCAAAATGATCTCAATCAGATCACAAGGAGTAATCCAATTTTAAAAAGCACTCAAAACTGGAGAAACAAGTTTACTAAATCCGCAAACTCAAACTCAAACATTGAAATCCGCAATTTACTTGGAAACTTACAGTGCAACTTTGCAAGAGGACAAAATCAACAAAAGTTTCAAAAAGTAGAATTGGACCATCTTGGGAAATTACAGTTTCATACTGAAAAAAAAGCGGGAGCTGAATTTAACCACACTAAGTGTCCGACACATAACTAACCCCAACTAAATTAAGAGCTTCAGAACAACTCACCTCCTTGAACCAAAACCACACATTACAGGAGATCAGCAACATTAGTTGGCAACTCCTCAATTGTAACATTATAAAACTTCTACATTTCTTCAAGCATCCTTTCATCGTACTGTGTGACGAAGTTAATAGCCACACCCTTCCTTCCAAACCGTCCACTACGCCCGATATGACGGAGGTAGTTCTCTGGCTGGGTAGGGAGGTCAAAGTTGATCACAAGGGACACTTGTTGGACATCCATACCACGAGCCAAGAGATCAGTGGTGATGAGCACTCTGGATGAATCAGACCGGAATTCTCGCATGATGATGTCCCTAGTATTTTTGTGCATGTCTCCATGAGTTGCAGAAATTGTGTAATCAAGGCCACGCATTTTGTCAGTGAGCCAATCAACATTACGCCCGGTGTTAACAAAGATGACACTCTCTGGGTCTGGGTGAAGGCCAAAGTGTCATAAAGATCGCAAAGTGTTTGATACCTTCAAATGTGAGCTCATTCCGTTTCTCAAGAATCGTGACAGGCTTGTTCATGAACTTCTGGGTGATTTCAAGGGCCTCTCGGGGCATAGTAGCAGAGGAAACACCGACCTATATCTTTGGTGGTAACAGTTGGAATATCTTATAGATCTAAAAACAAAACACGCAACACAGACATTAGATTCTATTGACAATGAGCCACATACTTCGTATGTTTTAACTTGTAGTCAGCACACTAAAAATATGCATTTCGCTAATAGTCACAATACATATTCCCAATACAATAATACTATGAACAAAAAAATGAAATAAATCAGGCAGATAATAGTGAAGATAAAAACTATTGTTTGGTATTGTGATAAAATCATGTACGAGTCAAATCACATCCACCAAAAATAAATCATTATACCAAATAATACTCCCTGAAATCCAAAATAAAGTTCATGTTTTCCTTTTTTGGTATGTCACAAAATAAGGCTCTTCAATAAAATAATTGTGAAACATATTGTTTCTTGCACCTCCAATTAAATCTCAACGGTACAATTTCACTTTATCAACAACCATACCAATCAGGGCCGGCTCTGACATATAAAAGGCCCTGTGCAAAATTGAATATGAGACCCTAAAATATAAAACACTATATTAATATTTCCACCGTTTTTAAATAATACTCCGTAGTTTCCTTAGGTTTTTGTGGGTTTTAAGGAGAAAATAGTAGGTGTAGTATAGATGTGTAAGGTAAATGAAAAAGTAGAAAAGATAATATATTAAAAAAAGTAAAGTAATGACAAATTATTAAAAAGAAAGTAGTTACATGCTCGTTCCAAACTGTACAAGGGCTTTGCGCTAATTACTGTAACTAGTTAAGCCTTGTGAAATAAAAAAATTATACAATTGTAATTAAAAATTGCATTTTAATTACATATAAATATTACTATTTAGTGTTTGTATTTTAAAAAGCACTAAGATAGAAATTTTTAATCAAATAAATATAGATGTATTATATTATATAGACTATATTTAAAATTTTGGGCCTTCTGAAATCAAGAGGCCTTGTGCGGTAGCACTTCTTGCACGCCCTCATCTACGGCTCTGATACCAATTGAACCAGTAACCTTATATTGGGATAGCGTAGGATAAAAAGTTCATCTGTTTAAGTATACTTGTGACTTTGTGAGGTGAATCACAAGTATGAAAACCTAGTATTCAGAGTTAATATAAACCTTGTCCTTAAACGGGTTGGCGCGACCCAACCCACATAAAGCATAACCCGTTACGGGCCGGGTCGGGTTGGCCCGTTTGACAGCTTTAGATGCAACTGGTAGGTGGTAACACCATGCGATAAGCTGTCGGCCCAATACGTGCTTCAATAAAAGTGTCCCATAGAATTTAGCGGAAATCGTGTTGTAAGGCTGGCGGAACAAAGTGGTTTGCTGATGAAGCCTAACCTTTAAAAAAATCTTATCCCCAATCTGAAAATTCACGTCACAATACAAAGTGGTTTGCCTGTGAGACCTGGCCTTCAGAAACTTGTAATACTCTCTAACAACAGACACCATCAACACCATCTAAAATATCACTTGGACTTTTCATACAACACAATAGCAAACAAAATCCAAATCACAGGTAGACTGATAAATGCATATTTCTCTCATTTGACATGCTTGCATACTAATGTCTGCAGTTTCGCAATTCTAGCTCTCATTTTTTCTTTCTTTTTTTTTTTTTCAATTTTGCAATCTGATCTTCCAAAACAACAAAAAGTCATCACGAGGATTCATAATAATATTTTATAGATAATTCAAGAATCATTCAACTGAACAAACAGTACATCTAGATTTTACCCCTCCTAGCCGGAGACGATGACCAAGATGTTGAACCCATTCAATTGGCAACATCCCCTGGTCCACAAACAAGTGCAAAGAAGAAGATAGACGAAAATAGTGTTTCTTTTCACCCATGGAGATAAACAATGATAAATGATAAGTAGGTTTATTAATATTAAATATACATGTGCTGATCACATGATGGTATGATGGAGGTTTAATGGATATGAACGTTGGTAATCAATGTCCAGCTCGTTGACATTGATTCGTCCAAAAAACCGTCCATTTATTGCAAAGGAACGTTGGGCATTTATGATGTTGTAACGTCCCAGCAGTAGACTGCTGCAAACATTCAACACGCACACATGGAGCAGTAGCCTGCTGCGCAGGGAACTGCTTTTGACCCTCTCTTCTCTCTTCTACATCATTTCCCACAAAAAAACTCAATCCCCTCTAACCTGTTACACTCTCCTCCCACTATGGTGACCTGAGTCACTTAAAATTTGTACTTTCTCTCTTCATATTTTTGGTATATTTCATCATTATTAATTTATATAATTTGTAAAAGGAATATAAAATTCACATTTGACCCACTATAATTATTTATTGTCGCCATTGTCTCTAGGTAGAGAACAAGTTGGATCCATTTTCAGAGGAAAAATAATTTAAACAGATAAAATAAGATGCAAGAGGGAAAAAAGTGGTAAATTTCGAAGTGACTACACATATCTTTCATTGGTGTCTATTTATAGACTAATTTTTGGTATATTTTTTACAATAAATTAAATATAATGAGTAATAAATGAAATTAAGGAGTTGGGGGATATTTGACGAGATTGGTGGCTATCTTGCTGGGAAGAGAAGCCACATAGCCTTTTGTGATTGGTTAGACACAAAAATTTGCTCAGAATTCATTTTTAACCTTCCCATTTGATCGAACACTTCATTGATTTCCCTCGGATCAAGTGGGATCAACTTGTTTTTTGATCCCTAATAACCTACCATTGTGATGCTCTAACCAGTCACAATCTAATTTCGGTAGACAACCCACTTAGTTTGGATTAAACCTAAATAACATGTAATACGAGAATTATTAGAAGCGCACGACTAATAGTAGGATTAGTAGACAACCCACTTAGTTTGGATTAAACCTAAATTGGTGCTTTTTTAATGGAGTGTTTGGAAGTGTTAGTAATGGAAGTGTTAGTAAGTGTTAGTAAGGGCTCGGAAGGGAAGAGATGTGTAAGTGTTAAACATAATTTTACCTTGTTTGGGAGAGTCAAATGAATGAAGCGTTAATAATGAAAGTGTTAATAATTTTACCTTGAGGCAAAAGAAACGAGTAAAGAGAAGAGATGAAAAAACAAACCATCAGACCCGTGGGAAAGACATTCGAAGTGAAATGTCGAAGCATTTTATGTTTTTTCGGGTAAATGAGAAGGATAATAATTGTCCAACACCTCAAAACACTTCCTAACAATTACTAACACTTCTTAACACCTCTGAATTTTTCTCCCAAACAAGTGTTAGCATCAACACTTACTAACACTTACATTACTAACCATCCAAACAGGCCGTTAGCAAAATCCTACCCTGCAAAAATTACCATTTGTATACGCACTGATACCAACTCATCCTTAAACAAAAGAATGGACTGTGTACAATAAGAATCGGGATAAGAGTCAGTTTGGTCCTCGAAGTTGCAAAAAAGGTGTCAAATAAGTCCTTATATAGAAGATTCTGTCCGGACGTGCCATTTGAGGTGGTTCCCGGTAGAATTTTTTGATGAAATTTTTTGAGCATCTTATTCATTAAGTCTAGTTTACTCATACTAAATTTCAGATTAAAATTCAATCGGGAAGACATTCAAATGAATTCTTGAAGATAACTGTGCCGTTAAAAGCGCTGTTATCTTCAAGAATTCATTTGAATGTCTTCCCGATTGAATTTTTAGCTGAAATTTGGTATGAGTAAACTAGACTTAATGAATAAGATGCTCAAAAAAATTTATCACAAAATTCCACCGGGAGCCACCTCAAATGGCACGTCCAGACAGAATCTTCTATATAAGGACTTATTTGACGCCTTTTTTGCAACTTCGAGGACCAAACTGACAGAATCACTGAAAAAAATACTTCAAAGGCTTCAGAAAGACTGCCCCCGAAATAGCAAGAGTGCCCCAGAAATGCAAATAGCAGTAGCTGCAATAGCAACCTCAAAGGCTCCTGCTTTACCAAAGTTCCACCGTTTTGTCGATGACCCTCTCCAACTTAAGCACTCCCATAATCTATCTTTCCATTCACACCCCGGAAACCTACCCCCCGCGGCGGTCAGAGCAACCCCTTTTCCCGCCAGCGCATTTCTGTTCCCGATTGAGAGGGCAATTGAAGAAGAAGAGGAGTACAGGAAAGCTCGGGATCAGGTGAATCGGAATGCTATGGATGCTGGCGGGTATACGTTTGAGGGAATGTCCGTTGGCGGCCACGAGACCTGTGTTATTGTTCCTCAGCTGAAGTGCGTCTTCGACATTGGGAGGTGCCCTTCTAGGGCTGTATCGCAGAATTTCTTGTTCATCACTCACGCTCATCTTGATCACATTGTAAACCATTTTTTATTCATCTGAATTTATTGTTGAGTGATTGTGTTTCTCCTAAATTCTTGTGGAATGGTACGGTTTTAGTCTTCAAGGCCCCCAAACCAGTGATTGCTTGATTGTGTATCGTTGTAGAGCTTATGGTTAGGGCACAGTGTTAACACTGTCATTTGTGGTCACTGGTCACATATATGACCAAGTGACCAACACAGAATTAGGAAAAGTTACTGTTATTCATTATCGGCTTCAGTAAGCTGAACCCTTTTGCTGATAATTTATGTATATCATTTCAGGGTGGACTTCCAATGTATTTGGCAACTCGTGGCTTGTATAACTTGAAACCTCCAACTGTATTTGTGCCTCCTTGCATAAAAGATGATGTAGAAAAGTTACTTGACATTCACAGATCCATGAGTCAAGTTGAGCTTAGTCTGGATTTGGTTGCTTTGGAAATAGGTACAGCCTTCTATTTGCATACATGCATTTCAAAATTGTTCTTTATCACAGTCTCAAATATCATTTACAATTCCCATTCAGGGGATACATATGAATTGCGGAATGATCTTGTGGTTAGGCCATTCAGAACTCACCATGTCATACCCAGCCAGGTATGCATGTATATGTTAGTCCACAAAGAATGGATAAATAGCATTTTCCTTGTGGTTTTATACTTTATATACTGTTGAGTGTTGAATGGTAACATCCTTGTAAAAAATGTCAAGTATTTCTGTCAAATGCGTGAAAAGTTAATGTTGCACCGTGCACTACATTTTCATCATTTTCATTTACCCCAGTGCCGCAAAGGCTCCCACCTACGGTGGGGTAAGGGGGGTCGGATGTACGCAGTCTTACCCCTGTACTAAAGCACAAAGAGACTGTTTCTGGATGACCCATAGTGAAAATCGCGTCCAAAATTGCATGGACTGACCGCTGCTTCATAACAAAAAGCGCAGACAGTTTAGTGAGCCATCTTGCTTTATTCCATCATATTTTCAAGCCAAAAAATAATGAATCTCTGGCTCCATTGCAAATGATGGAAAATGCACCGTGCACTACTGTCTACAAGAAAATATCTGTAACTTATAAGTTATCTTCTGTGTAGTTTTTTTACCCTAAACTCTTTTATAAATGTACTTATGTACCAAAGCATAAGACCACTTTACTTTTTGAACGAATGTTAATGAAAAATACAGTTCACAATCCAATATTCTCTTAAGGGAACAATTGTGTGTTGGTCATTTTAAAAGTTGGAGAGAGAGAAAGGGTGAATTAGGAAACATAAAAAAGTTGGTAATGTTGAAATTAAGAAAGTGAACATGATTCTGAGGTAGACTAAAAGGGAAACTAGTACAAGTAAAATTAGATGGAGTATTTATTGAGCAATGTTGCAGAAGTTTGGCTTTAGTAGTTTGTTTTTTATAGTTTAGCAAATTAATACTTTTACACGTATATAACTTATATCTGAAATTTAAAACCTTGCAAATTTATAGGAAAGAGGAAAAATGACTCAACTAATATTATAGGCTTATAGCTATCTACTCATTTTTCAGACACAGAATTTATATACACATCAGTACCAAATATACTCTTATATTTGGGTATTGATCATTTTCATTTTTTCCTTCATTTTAATCAATCTATAGAATAAACTTAGTAATAATCTGACTGTAGTTCACCTCTGTGCAATAGGGTTTCAGATATGTCATATTTTATCTGTATTTAAGTACTAGTAGTGAACAATGTGAGCTCCATGGTTATGGTGTAGACAAGTGCAATAATCATAGGGAATTAGGTAATTTAATCAAAAGTAGGAGTTAACAAAATGAAGTGCAGGGATTGGGTAAAAATTTTGCATAGTCCGAGAGGATTTTATTAAATAACCCCTTTAATATTATCTTTTTGTAAACAATTTGCCCAATATGCCTCAACTTTGTTGTTATTATTGCTTTATACGATCTGCTTACATGCTGTAGATCTGGTCAGCACTGGAGCCATTTCTGTATTCATGAGCATTTAATTTGTATTCAAAGTTAGTACTGAGTATTTTTGTGTGTTTCCTTACCGTTGAAGTGCTTGTCCTACACCAAATTTTAAAACTAATATATGCAATCCTAGGTTATTCTCCCTATCAGTATAGCACTCCAAATCTTAATATGACATCAAGGCCAAACACAGTTGTGGTTTGTTTGTCATCAACCTGTGATTTAGGGTTTTCATATGTACAGGGTTATGTCATCTACTCTTTGCGGAAGAAGTTGAAAAAGCAATATCTACACCTTCAGGGTAAACAGATCGAGAAACTGAAGAAATCTGGAACTCAGGTTTGTGGCTCTGTCATATAGTTATGCCATTGAGCATTGGTGGTATTAACAAGTGAGTAACACAGATAATCATTTGGTAGATTACAGATATTATACTGTGTCCTGAGGTGGCCTTCACTGGAGATACTACATCAGATTTTTATGTTGATCCCAAAAGTGCCGATGCCTTGAGAGCAAAAGTTCTTATCACTGAGGTAATTTTTTGGTTTATGTACCTTATTGTAAGTTCATCAAACACATAATGCAATAGTGTAGGACATGGTTCACCTAGCCATGAAGTGTAAAAAAATGAATGTTGGTATGTGTTATTTATTTGTCAAATACTCAAATGTAATTAAGCTCTGAAAAGTATATTGGACTTTGTGGAGTAGAACTAAAATTTATCATTCAGCAAATCAGTTCCATTATATTGACCCTTAACTAAAAGGGAAACAGGCAAACAGCCCAAACAGGTCAACATTTTTTAAAATTTTGCTTTTCTCCTTGGGTGTGGTTGAAGAAATATGTAACATTCATATTTAATGGTTTAATGGTGACAGCCATAAAAATGTTACAGGCAACTTTTTTGGATGAAAGTGTCAGCATTGAGCATGCACGAGAGCATGGCCATACTCATATATCCGAGGTAATTTGAAGCCTGTTAAAGTAGTGAAATGGTTATCTTAATTTTAATTATAGTTTACTATCCGTTGAAGGAGAGCCTTGGCGCACCGATTATGGCGTTGTTGTGTGACTGTCTGGCCGAAAGCTTTGGCGTCTTGTCAAAATTTGACAGGGGAATCCGGGAAGGCTTGCCACTTATACGCCCTTGTGGTGGGACCCTTCCCCTGACCCTTGCCTTGCGGCGATGCCTTCGCGCACCGGACTGCCCTTTTTTATAGTTTATTATCTGTTGAAGTTGTAACATCTAATATTGTATTATTGTTATCACAGTTTTAGTACTTTTATAGTTTTTCTGTTAGATTTCCTTTTTTATACATAAGCAAAGTTATATCCTCTAGCCCTTCAGAAACTATGAACTTGAAACTATAATACTATCTACGTGACTACGTCCCCCTAAGATTGGAACAAGAGGGAGTGGTGCAGTTATTAAGAAAAGTGAAATTGTGCGATTGGTATTGAATTGGAAGTGTGAATAAAATAAAAAAATAAATTGCAATCATCCAAATATTACCAAATATGGTATGGGACAAACTTAGGGGGCGAACAAAAAAGGTCAAATGGGACAAGGGACAGGGGAGTAGAATTATTGCATTAATCGTCATTTTCTATTTCTTTCTTGTCGGTATATTTAAGTGGAAGAGATATTATTGAACTTTAGAGTTGAGACGCTAGCACAGAGTCTCAAACCCTCCTCTATAGAATATCTCTGTATACCTCATATCTCTGTATCAACCTGATTGTAGATAATGGAGCATGCCCAGTTGATTCGAAGTAAAACAGTTGTGCTAACCCATTTCTCTCCACGCTACAATCTAGAGGTATCAATTTATTGTGCATCCATTAAACAGAACACAAATGGCTCATTTTTCTATGCTATTATGCCTCCTCCCCAAAAACCAATTAAGTATTTATAAAATGATTTGTTTATGGGAAAGATTATAAATGTGATTAAAAATGCATATTCTTAAATGTGACTTATTCATTCATTAACTCATAAAAGTACAGTTAACTAGTGTTATTCCTTTTTTGAGGACTAAATGAGTCATACATTTAACACAAGACGATACTCCTATATGTGCACATGACTCGTGTTTTAATCCTATTTAAGTCAAATTTATTCATCAATTACAGGACATCCGCAAAGGTGTGTCAAAGCTGCAACCTAAGTTGACTGCCAAAGTAGTTACTCTAACAGAAGGCTTCAAATCAATGCACACATAGAACTTTGTAACCAACTAGGTGGAGCATACCGTTGTCATGCTTAGCCATGGTGTGTACATACACTCACGTATTCGAAGGGAAAGTCAACCTCACTTGAACCAGTACTACACAAAGAAGTAATATGGAGTATCTTTTAAGTTTGAGAAGTGTAGTTGGGAAAATAGAACTGGTGATGGCATGTTGTGCGGTGAGTTTGCTACTGAGTTGTAGAAAGCATTGAGCTTTTGTAATAGCATGTGTCCGCCACAGGGAAAAGTCTCATATGTTGAGTCGGGCAATCGGCACTTGTGACTTGCTCTAATAATGTGACAATTGTGAGAGCATACAACTTTGCAAAACATGTACCACTATGCTGAATCGGCATTGTGTAGGTATAATATATATCACTTCCCATGACACATGATGTAGCTATTTTCAGGCAGACATACACGATTCATTTGGCAGCAAACATGCCAGTGTTGAGGATGATTAGACTTTTCTCAGAAATGTTGTTCAATCTGCAGACTTGATAAATCAGTTATCCAGTTGTATAATTATATCCTTCAAGATTTGAAGTGCCTTTCACACTAGTGGTAGAGCATAGAGGTTCAATTTTTTCAGAATGGAGGTTTAAAGTTATTGCTGATAAAACAAGATGGTGGTGATAGTGAAATCAGGAGCAAAAAAGTTACTACGTATTTGTCAAGGAATCTTATTCTGTTATTATCGTATATACGAAAAGTATGACGGGTGGGGTGCGGCTGTTAATATCTTATTCTTTGGGTTGCAAATGCAGATAGAGAACATTTAAACTTGTCTTGCTCGAGTAAACTCCCTCTTGTCGTCTTCTTCCATTTGGGAGATGAAATTTGGGAGAAATGTTGCGTTGGTCAGTTGGAAGCATAGAACGTTGATATCTCATATTTACTACATAACTTGAGAAAAGGTGAGAGTTATACATTTGTAATCTCTTGCTTCATACTTGAATGACTCAATAATAGTTTACTTTGCAGCTAAGTTACATAATTATGATCATTTACATTTTGATCAAAAACATAATTACACAAAAAATGGTACAAAACTACAAATTATTGTAGATTTGTAGGGCTTCTTTTGAGCAAAATTATTTTACTTGCACATATCATACAATTTACACAATGACCAAGAGAGAAGAAAACAATGAATTGGGTCATGTGCATATATAGGAGTTCGTTTAAATGAATTTTTAAATTCCTTATTTTTGTTTATATGTTACAGAATGTCCATCATGAAGTGATGAATTTAATTGTGAGAATATTGACATATTTCATCCCAATCTCAATGCTCAGCTCTTTATGTTTATTTGTCATTTTCTACTTAACTTCTTCCGCTTATCAGCTATGTTGTTATATGAATCATATGATAGATGTTCTCTTTTTCTAATATTACATGAATGAAGTTATATGCGGGTTTCTTTTGAGCAAGATTATGAATGCTTTGCTAACTAATTAACCAAGAAATGTAGTCACATTTGATGATTCTTAGATATTCTTTTTCATTGCTGTGCACTTGACATTTACCATCCAATGTGTCCAAGTAAAATATGTGATGCTTTATTTTTTTTTTCTTTCGTCACGTATGCATGGACCCGGGCCGGGCCGGGCCTAGGCCCGGTCGGGCTTTTGAGGAATGGGGGAAGGCCCGGAATCGGCTCGGGTTGCCACCGGGCACGGGCCGGGCCTCGGGGTACTTAGTTTATTTGTTTTTTTTTTGGCTTTTCTACTTAACCCCCCCCCCCCACCCCACCCCACCCCACCCCACCCCCCCACCCCCCAAAACACCCCAAAACACACCGCCCCAACCCAGAATAAACAAAATAAATATGAGAAAAAAAAGCCCGGAATCGGGCCCCGCCGGGCCGGTTCATCTTTTGGGTGACCCGAGCCCGTACCGTAAAGCCCCCGGGCCGGGCCTACCCGGACCGGTCCTTATCCGGGCCACCGGTTCGTGCCGGTTCCAAATAGTGCCGGGCCGGTTCCGGGTCGGGCCACCCGGCCCGAGTCCATGCCTAGCTCGAAGGGTTTCTTTTAGAATCTCAAACATTTTTACTCGAGCAATAGCTTCATTTTGCTCTAGAGTTATCGACATTCTAGCGAATCGCGTTGCAGTTAGTTTCAAATTCGGTTATCAATGAACAGGAGCTATGGCAATGGTGGTAAACTGGTAATTACTCCGAACATATTAACTTCCATTTCCTGATCCGAATAGGAATGGAAATGTTGACATACCCGGGCCAATACTGTTTAGACCCGACCTAACCGTTACTGTCTATGACTGTGCCGGGGCCCGGACCGAAGGCTTTAAGGGGCAAGCTTCAGGTTGTACTTCCAAAACTACAATTTAGTAAAATAAAAAAGATAGAATTTCTGACTTAGTGGTGGACTCGGGCCGGGCAGCCCGGCCCGGTTACTGTTTGGCCCGGCCCGGGGCCCGGTGGGTCCACCGGTTCGGTTCGGCCCGGCCCGGCTGCTGGGCGGTTCGGGCTCGGGCCCAGTTTTTGGTGAACCGGCCCGGCCGGTTCGGGCCCGGTTCGGGCCGGTTTTTAATTTTTTTTTTTTTTTAAGTTTTGGGTTGGATTAGGTATTTTGGGCCATTTGAGGTGGTTTGGGGTTGAGGGGGAGGGGTTGGGGGTTAAATAGAAGAGCCAAAAAAAAAATTAGAACCGGTTTGGCCCGGCCCGGTTTGGCCCGGAACCGGAACCGGAACCGCCCACCGGCGGTTCGGGCTCGGGCCCAACTTTCCTGGCCCGAGGCCCGGCCGGGCCCGAACCGGCCCAAGTCCACCACTAGGCTGTATTCTTTAGGCCCAGACTGGGCCCGGTATTTTAAAAAATGGGTGGTATCAACCCCGGCCCAGTATTGTTTAGACCCAACCCGGACCCAGAGCATAACCAGGCCGGTTCCAGGCCTGAAATCCTTAAGCCTGAAGCCCGCCCAATCCCGTCCCGAAGCCCGACCCAGTCCCAGTCCATCTCAAGATCCGAACACTGATCTTCTTGATCTTCTCAAGCCTTTCTAATTCTTGGCAAACGTCAGTCTTGCTAGTTGCTGCCTTCATGTTGTTTCAAATTCGTGTTTCATAAATTTCGTCCACGTGACCACGTATATACCTAGCATCCTAGTATGGTCATCTACCAAAATGCATTTCTTGAATCCGTTAATTGTTAGATTGCCACGTGAAATATATACTTCTCTTCTTTATGTTAAAATAGAGACAGCTTAATTATCAAGGGCGAGGGCCTGAAACCAATTAAACAGCTCAAGGAGTCAAGGTAATTAATTTACACGCCACATAACTGCTTGTAAAATACCAAAATCAACTCGATCAGATCACAAGGAATGATCCATTTAAAAAAAGCACTCAAAACTGAGAAAACAGGTTGGGTAAACCAAATCAAATAAAAAACATAAACTCAAACAACTTTAAAAATCCGCAATTTACTTGGAAGCTTACAGTGCAAGAGGACAAAATCAACAAAAATTTCAAAAAGTAGAATTGGACCATCTTGAGAAACTACAGTCCCATACTGAAAGAAAGAGCGGGAGCTGAATTTACCCACACTAGGTGTCTGGCGCATAAGTTACTCCAATTAAATTAAAGAGCTTAAACTGCTTCTATTGTAGAACAATTCACCTCCTTGAACCAAAACCACACATCACAGAAGATCAGCAACATTAGCTGGCAACTCCTGGATTGTAACATTATAAAACTTCTGTATGTCTTGAAGCATCCTTTCATCATCCTTGGTGACAAAGTTAATAGCCACACCCTTCCTTCCAAACCGTCCACTACGCCCGATACGATGGAGGTAGTTCTCTGGCTGAGTAGGGAGGTCAAAGTTGATCACAAGGGACACTTGCTGGACATCAATACCACGAGCCAAGAGATCAGTGGTGATAAGCACTCTGGATGAACCAGACCGGAATTCCCGCATGATGATGTCCCTAGTATTTTGGTCCATATCTCCATGAGTTGCAGAAACTGTATGGTCACGGCCACGCATTTTGTCAGTGAGCCAATCAACCTTACGCCTGGTGTTCACAAAGATGACACTCTGGGTGATGGCCAATGTCTCATAGAGATCGCAAAGTGTTTCGAGCTTCCAATCCTCTTTGTCAACATTGACATAGAACTGTTTGATACCTTCTAGTGTGAGCTCATCCCGTTTCACAAGGATCCTGACAGGCTTGTTCATGAACTTTCGGGTGATTTCGAGGGCCTCTGGGGGCATAGTAGCAGAGAAAACACCAACCTGTATCTTTGGCGGTAACAGCTGGAAAATATCATAGATCTAAAAAAAAACATGCAACACAAACATTAGTGTCTATAGAACACATGTTTTAAGCCAACAGTCAGCAGACTAAAAATATGCATTTTGAATAACAATCACAATACATATTGGCATTTTGCCAATATAATAGTACTATGAACACAAAGACATGAAATAATAACAATATATATTATTCTGTCAAAAAATAACAATACATATTATATATAATATAAATAAAAAAGTGATGAAAGAAACTAATTTTTGGCATTGTGATTAAATCAAGTACGAGTAAAATAATATCTGCCAAAAATAAATCATTATACCAAATGGTACTCCCTGCAATCCGAAATAAAGTTCATCTTTTCCTTTTTTGTTATGTCACAAAATAAGGTTCTTCAGGAACATGTTTGTGATTCATATTGTTTCTCACACCACCAATTAAATCTCGACAGTACAATTTAACTTTTAAACACAAATGCCAAATCAACCAGTAAACATATTCTGGGATAGTGCAGGATTAAAAAGTCCATATATTCCAGTATACCTGTGAGGGGAATCGCAAGTATAAAAACAGTATATGGGAATAATATAAACCTGGTCCTTGAATCCCCTTGAGAGCATTTCATCAGCTTCATCCAACACAAACATCTTGATATGGTCAGGCCGAAGAGATTGCCTGCGCAACATGTCAAAGACACGTCCAGGAGTTCCAACCACAACGTGAACTCCACTCTGAAGAATGCGCTGATCTTCACGAACACTGGTACCCCCAACACAAGCATGGACCTTAACACCAAGATAATCACCGAGTGCTCGCATGACCTTCTCAATTTGCTGAGCAAGTTCACGGGTAGGTGCCAGAACCAAAGCCTGGCATTCAACTATGCTGTAATCAAGTTGTTGAAGAATTCCAGAACAGAAAGTAGCAGTCTTTCCAGTTCCAGATTGCGCCTGTTGGATGACATCAAGTCCCTTGCAAAAGGGAACAATGCCTCTTTGCTGAATTGCAGAAGGCTTCTCAAAACCTTAACACAATACCATAGCAGCATTTAGCTTATCACACACATAAGACTTTAACACGAGTAAATATAGCATTAAAAGAAAATATAATCTAATAACTGTAATAGTAAAATCCACTAATAACTGTAAGAATAAAAACCACTCAAGCAATGAACACCATAACGTGTGGGATGAAGACTACAATATGAACACTATATTGTCCTTTAATGGTCAATTTTGTAATAGTTGAGCTTTTGACGAAGTGTTCAAGCTCGATAATTTAAAATTAAATATGTTTGCATCGATCTATTCCCTGCTTGTTTAGCTTAAATGAGGATGTTCGCTATCAGTTTAATTAAAGTTTGGGGGAGCTCTTCCACAGCTCCATAAGAAGTAAATGTTATAAACTTTCATTAAGTAAAATATATGATGCATCCAACAAGCAACTGATCCCATTGTTCAACATGAGGCCGTTGCATAGGCAAGCTTCAAACTCAGGCTATTTAATGCGACATACATGTTCATATATAATAGGATTCAATCCTAGTATTCTAATAATGCGGTATACATGGGCATAATATGACCTCAGCTACTAATCAATTATAAAGCAGTATATTCTCAGCTTTAAATGCTAGTGTTCAACTAGTACAGTTACAAAGAAGAAAATATGGTTTCAGCTTATAAATTCAGGCTACTGGTTATATAAAAACAAAAAGTATTGGAAGCCGGGACTAATTACCATAAGCATATATTCCTCTAAGGAGGTTTTCTTGCAAGCCCATGGAGTCAAAGCTATCATACACCTCATCATAGGATGTGAAAAATGTCTGTCCATCAGATTCCATCCTGCACAAGTCCACATATCACATCAATAGATATCCTACATAGACAATA